AATGCTTAATTTTCTACTGTTAAACCACCGAATAATATTGATAAAATCATTTTCAATTACATTTTTCAGATCAGACCAGTCAGTGCCTTCATATAATATTGCAGTATCATCTGCAAAACTAGTTATTTTGCCAACACAATTAATTTGGAAAATATTTAAATATATATTGAATAACAGCGGACCTAAGACAGTTCCTTGTGGGACACCACACTTAATATACATTTCTTTACTAAATGATCCTGATATCTGCACAGATTGTGGGCGATTTGACAAATAACTTTGGATCAGTGAGTACGCGTTTCCTCTGAAACCAATTCTCTCCAATGCTTCTAATAATAATTTGTGATTAACTGTGTCGAAAGCTTTCTTAAAATCAACAAAATGCAGATTGAAGGGATTCTGTTATCAATATTTTGATGTATTTGATTTACAATTTTAGTTATTGCGTCCGATGTAGCCTTCCCTTCTGAAAATCCATATTGATTTTCACTTAAAATTTTGAATTTTGTGAGGTATCGAATCAAACTAGTAGATAAAACTTTTTCAAAAACCTTCGCTACACTGGATATTATTGATATTGGTCTATAGTTGTTAACATCTGTTTTTGTTCCTGATTTATGTATCGGTATTATATTACCTTTTTTTAAAATTGAGGGATATATGCCAGATTCAAAGCATTTGTTGATTAGGTAAGTGAGTGGTTCTGTTATGTCCTCGGCTATAATTTTCAAATGCTCGCTTTTAATACCATCGAACCCAGGACTTTTCCGATTTTTTAAGGACATAACAGTGGTGTATACTTCACATTGCTCGACTTTATCCAAAATAAATGAGTTCAAAGTTCTTTTTGGAGGCTGAGTATTTTGTACATTTGCTTGTATATTACTTGCTAAATTTTCGCCTATGTCAGTAAAGAATTGTACAAATTCATCGCATATCTGTTGAGTATTTTTTAATACTGTTCCCGATGTTGTATTTAACTCAGTGACACACTATTTAAATTTTGTTTTCCCAGTAATCTCATCAATAGTTGTCCAAAGCCGCTTAGGATCATTTAAGTTATTATTCAATTTATTTAGGTAATGTTTTCGTTTGGTTTGCCTTACAAGCTCTATAAATTTATTTTTATATTGGTTGTAACAATCGGTATTCTCTGTAGTTGGCGTTAGTTTCATTACATTATATAGTCTTTCTTTTTCTATTGCCGATGTTATTAATCCTTTGGTAATCCAGGCATTTCTGCTTTTCTCTTTGTGACTAATTATTACTTTATTGGTACTAATTTCTATTAGTTTTTTTATTTTCTCTATGAACAGTCCCGTTGCTTTGTCTATATTATTTATAGAGTATAATTGTTCCCAGGATTCTTGTTTGACAGTTGATATTAGTTTTGAATTATTATTAATAGCAATAACCCAAAAAACGTTTGGAAAAAGTTGTATAAACCGTGTAGCAAAAAAAAACTGTTTAAGATGTAGAAATATACAGGGTGTGTCATGTGAAATTTTTGAAAAAAGGTACATTTTGCGTTTTGAGATACCCTGTATAAATAGAAATAAATTACAGCACTTTTCCCGGATTAGCTTAAAATCGATGGTAATAAAATTTGTGTGAACTGAAATGTAGCTTTATATCTTCAAAAATGTTGGAGCTCGAGCCGTCCAAGTTGGGCATCTTTTTCAGACATTTCATTAAATATTTAGACAATTTACAATTGAAACTATATGTTATATAATATCAAACTTCTTGTTTTTAGAAGCTCTATCCAAACATACAATAAAATGTAGTTGAAAGAATACATGTTTGCTATGGCACGAAATTATTGAGGACCCTGTATATATTGAATTTATTTTGAAATATAGACTACACAGTGGCGGCTCGTGGCAAAATAAAACAGGCGTTCTGCAAATCCGAACGTACCTATTTTTTATATGTATGTTCGATCCTGCGCTCCTTCTTGGCAGCAAATAAATTCCTTTTCAATGGACAGCATCGACAACGCTGTAATGCGATCCTGGATCATAGTATTACAAAATGTTTCTATGTGTGTGATAACATGGAAAATAAATGATGATCAAATTACTACTGCTTTTTTCTGTTGAAGACAAAAGTTTTGGCAGTTCTGCGGCTCTGCAGAACTTAAGGACCAGTCGCCCCTGGACTACTAACATATCACTGTTACCACGAAACCAAATTTTGATGTATTGATTTAAAAAAGATCGGAACCGACATCATAATAATTCACTTATTTGTTTCCTGTCAAAAATTAAAAATGAATCATTCTTTATAGCGAATATTAGACGTTCAATCTCATCCGTATACTTTATCTGAAGTCACTTAAAATAGCATAAAAACCTTTGGTCGGCGCGTCCTTTGTAATTTCATGACGTATCATAGGCGTGCGGTCATTTATTTAGAACGATAATAATAATGTTTTTATATCACAATAAATGGATTTTACTATCTTCTTATTTTTTTGATTTGGGATAAAAAATACTTATATTGGGAGTTTAATTTATCTTGACTGAAAGTTAAGAAATGGAAAAATTACAGAATTCCAACGTTTGACATAGGCAAATATTTACATAGCAGGTAGGTATATAAAAAGGTATATAAAGACTTACATTATAGGTATTTATATATCATCCTCGCCTTCGGAGCTGTCGCTAGAGTCATCTTGTAGAGGAATTACAACGGGATTTACAGGAGGCAAAACACAATATTCATTTTCTTTTTCAATAATATGCCTAGAACACTGCTTCCATAGGTCTGTGACAGCAATATGAGATACTGCATCTCTTATTGTGGCCAATAGCGATTCACTTAATTGAGGGGTCTGATTATGTTTTCTTACTTTTTTTTTTAAAGCAGCCCAGACCAACTCAATCGGGTTAAAAATGCAGTAATAGGGAGGTAGACGTAATACTTCATGGCCATTTTGCTGAAGCAGATTGTCAACAACATACTCTTTTTCAAATTTTTGTCTTTTAATAAGATCCAATAATATGGCTTTGGTTGATTTTTGTGGTATTTCCATTCCCTTATCCTTCATAAAATCAATAATGTCTTGTTTTTTGTGCCTGTATTCGGAATTTTATTTTTCTGTCGGGAATGGTATGGCGCATTGTCCATAATAATCACTGAATTTGGGGAAATGTTTGGTATTAACTGCTGCTCTATCCACTTTTCAAATAAGTCGGAGGTCATGTCCTCATGATAGTCGGCACATGATTCTTTGATATTTTTGGCAGATAACAGCAAGGCATTAGGTATAAATCCATTTTCACTGCCAGCATGGAGAATAATGATTCGTTTTCCACGGTTGCATGGTGCATTTAAAATGAACTCGTTGCTGTCGTCAACCCAGCCGTACTGCACAACATCATGGGTATCATACCACGTTTCATCCAGGTAAATCAGATTTCTTTTCTGCTCTCTATAGATTTTAACTTTGTGCAAACATTCTTGGCGCAATTCAACGATTGGAGACGACTCCACAATCACCATTCTTTTATCTAATTTTTTGTATTGAAAACCACACAGTTTTACAATACAGTGCAGTGAGTCTATGCATTTGTAATTATAAAAATCTTCAGGATAATCTTTTAATTTATCCCGTATCATTTCCAACGTGGGCACCAAATTTTCTTTATAAAATCCGTATATTATACGACGAATATCTTCCTGAATACCCACGTCTATTCTTTTTAATTTTTGCCCTATGCGCTTTCTGTGGAAGGAATGGTTGACTACATCTCCCCTTTTTATAACCCGATAAATGGTAGACCGAGTGATTTTTGTCAGGATACAAATTCTGTTTAAAATTTGATTTTGCGAGGAATCTGGATTTTCGTTTTTCAGACAATCATACATATTTAGGATTACTCTTTGGGTCTGTTCCTCTAAATCTTGATGAAAAAATTCTGCACAGGTTCATCGACCATCTCCTTGTGGCTTGGACCATTTTCCCAAGGTCTCCAAAGAGCCATATTTAGGACACACAAGAACAATCAACACAACAATTAAATCAACAAGTAAACTGAGTATTCAAAAGTCAAAAACACACAAACTAATAAAATCTATGAAAAAACACGGACAGACTAAAGAAAACACGTTTATTCACCGCTACACGGCACTGGCTAAACTGTTTCAATTTTCAGTAGCCACCTGCACTTGCTCGGAGCTCTGAAATACACGCTTTCTCATTGGCTATGTCCACGCATGGGCGTGCTTTACTCCACGTGGACCGGTGAAACTGCCTTTGATCTTATACGGGGGATATTTGCTGCGAAATTTGGCGATTTTTGCAGCAACAGAGCGTGTTAAATATAGATATATAAAACGCACCCGGTATTTCACAGTGTTTCAAGTGACTTCAGACAAAGTATACATTCATACATTCTTATATCATAAGCGTAGTTGCAAAACATTTTATGAATTTAATCCCTGATGCAAGTAAATTCTTGTGAACCGTATGGCTGTTGAAGCCTGCTGCTACTTCCTTGATGTTTATCGTTCGAATCCGACTAGCGGATTCTTGTAATTATTGAACGTGGTAGCGATTCTAGTTCACTGGTTAGCAGCATAACAATTTCGTAGATGAACGATCTGTATGCGTAACAGAATCGGGTGTTTTGCGATCGAAAAAAAATATAATTGGAAGTTCTACTTCTTGGTAACAACAAGCAAGTTATACGAATCCTACTTAGCCTTTCTGTGAGTCAATTTTGTGTTAAAATGTTTTTTTGGATGTTATATGACACGTGCGTGACGAGAAACTGTCACTGATTTCTGTCGATTGCTGTCGATTGCTGTTTATAGACTGTGAAAACCTCCAACGACAATTTTTTTTACAAATATGGTGTATCAGTAACAATTTGTATTCAAATGTTAACCGGTAGGGAAGGCAGAATGTCTACCGACAAATTCCATATCGATATCTACGTCGAGTGGGAATTCCGGAGTCTACCTACTTGACAGTTTTTTTTTGTTGTTTTCAGATTCCAAGCGAAAGCAGTGTAGGCAATACGAGCAGTACGGCGTCCTCGGAGGTGTCCCGACCAGTGTCCCTGACTAGTCTGGGCTCCTGTTCCTCCAGTGGGAGCAGCGGGCCACATCAGCCTGGATCAGTTTATCTGGCTTCCGCTGAAAGCCTGGATAGCGATCCGGAACCCACTGGTAGCCAGGGTAAGTCGTCGTTTTAATATTTTCACTTCCTATGCTACTGGCAAGAAAGATTCTGTTTTTTCGATATTACATATATGACATGTACACCACGAATAACCGTCTCACTCTGTATATATATATATATATATATATATATATATATATATATACATATATATATATAGGTGAAAAATTAAAGCTTCCGCCTTTTGTTGGGTACTTCGACAAAATTTAAGCAAAGAGGAATCTTTATACTTTTTTAATTCTCTCTAGCTTTCAATGGACTTTGCCATCATCATCAGGAGCTGCAATTACAATGATAACAGTAGCAACAAAAGTGTAAAATGAATTTAAGTTGACTCAACTTACAGTAGTATGTGAGGATGTTGCTAATTGTTGTTTACGTATAGGGTGAGGGAAACGTCCAGTAACATGGTGAGAGCTGGATACATGGTACAATGGTTAAAATTATATAAAATATGACAAGACAAGTTAAAGACGGATTAAAAATTATTTAGAAAACATTAGAGCATTACGTCGTGAAGCCACTTGATGATTACACAAAATGGTGGTCATGGAATAATGAGTGAGATGAACCTTTGACAGAAGGCCGAAAGTTGTCAATGTCTGTGTTGAAAGATGGAACGAATTGTGGGCGTGTGCCAAAACGTTGCCAAATCACTTCAGATGATGTGATTTTCAGAATGTTATGTAAGAAATTGTTAAACCGACCAGAGGCAGTTGAATAAACTATATTTTAATTAATGGGAATTTTAAATTAACAATTATTAATAAATCGTGAGAAGAGAATTATTAGATTTTGAGTGGAATGAAATTTGTTGGTGGAATCGGCCAAAACACAAATTTCATTCCACTCAAAATCTAATAATTCTCTTCTCACGATTTATTAATAATTGTTAATTTAAAATTCCCATTAATTAAAATATAGTTTATTCAACTACCTCTGGTCGATTTAACAATTTCTTACATAACATTCTGAAAATCACATCATCTGAAGTGATTTGGCAACGTTTTGGCACACGCCCACAATTCGTTCCATCTTTCAACACAGACATTGACAACTTTCGGCCTTCTGTCAAAGGTTCATCTCACTCATTATTCCATGACCACCATTTTATGCAATCATCAAGTGGCTTCACGACGTAATGTTCTAATGTGCTCTAAATAATTTTTAATCTGTCTTTAACTTGTCTTGTCATATTTTATATAATTTTAACCATTGTACCATGTATTCAGCTCTCACCATGTTACTGGACGTTTCCCTCATCCTATACGAAAACAACAATTAGCAACATCCTCACATAAGTTGATTCAATTTAAATTCATTTTACACTTTTGTTGCTACTGTTATCATTGTAATTGCAGCTCCTGATGATGATGGCAAAGTCCATTGAAAGCTAGAGAGAATTAAAAAAGTATAAAGAGTCCTCTTTGCTTAAATTTTGTCGAAGTACCCTACAAAAGGCGGAAGCTTTAATTTTTCACCTATATATATATATATATATATATATATATATATATATATATTCTTTTATTTACAATGTCTTTCATATTTCCGTATAAATTGCGAAACACTCTGTATATCGTACGGCATTCAAAGCCACCGGCGATCTTATTGTCGCCGCCCACACGTTTCGCATTTGTTTTGCGCGAGCCGGGCGGTGCGTCGCGTCACGTCTCCGGCGCGCCGCCTCTGTTTCACCGGCGACGATCGTTTTTCTTTTGTTTCTTCGTGCTGCATGCGCCACGTATGCAAATGGCCCAGGAATGCCGGCGTCAAGTCACAAATGCAGGCGGCCGTGACAAACGCAGTGACAAAAGAGCGACGCGCAGGCGACTAGATACGCGGTACGACACGACAGGCATCCTCCGTTCGATTTGTACGCCACGCGCGTCGACCGAATGTCCGTCGTTTGTCATTATTCATAATTTAGATGTAATGATTGTAATAAAACTGCACTGATATGGAATTCGAGGCAGATAATAATAATAAACAACCTTGATTGATTTTGTAAACAAATATACAGTACAAAAATACTGTACCGGTCTGGCTTGTAAATTAAGTGGTGAAACTGGCAACGTAGCATTCGATCTGGCAACACTGGAGGCGCCGAGCTTGGAGGGGAGATGTGATCCGCCTTCAGTGCAAGTTTGAACTCTATCGAGTCATTTGTTTGTCCGTGAGAAAAAAAATGACTGGTATCAATTTCGACCAGCGGTGTGCTATCAGGTTTTGCTTCGGACTGGAGCACAGTGCAACGGAGATATTATGTTTTGAGTGTTATGTACTTGACGAAAAACCATGTCTCTCATTTGCATCGGTCTGTCCGCTAATCTTTGCCCGGTGAAGTACACGTCGGATTTTGATGAAATTTTCGCACAAGGTTACAGCTATGCCTATGTCGAAAAAGCTGTGTAGTTTTTGAAAATCGGTCGAGTGGTGGCAGAGGATAAGGCCGAAAACGAAAAAAATAAAATTCTATTTCACGAACTTGATCTATTTGACGGAATGTGACATTTGAGCTGTCCTTAGGTTCATGTTGATAGAACGATTAAAATTCGTGCTTGTCAGTGACCTCAGTGGGCCTTTTTGTATTTTTTGCAATTGTCATGTGAGCTATTATTACTTCGTCGTGACTATTCTTCGGCATCCATTCAAAATGTCGTTATTATTCGAATGTGGCAACAACGGTGGTACCATTTGTTCGCAAAGTCGTTCCATTCAGATCGGCTTCTTGTTAGTCATACAAATAGTCTAATTGTCGACTGGCGCGTCGAATGGAAAGGAACTGCCCGTCGCGGACAAGTTTTTCCTTTTAAAATGAATGGTCGATGCAAATCCGATCGATAAATTTTGCGCAGATACGTGGAAGAATTGCGAAATTATGCGTACGTGTAGTCACTGGTGCCGTTGACTAACGCGATAGGTTTCTCAGGACGCCCTGTCAAGAGTATTAGCATCAGATTCCCGATATATAATAATAAAATTTAAAAAAGTGTTTATATTAGTTTCTTCAATTGATATGCGATTTTACTGACTCAACATCACCTACCGTGTGTTTTTTCCTATAAACCTTTTGCAGATAGCCATTAAGCACCTACTTGGTGACAGGCTCTACCAAAAATTTGATAGATATTGCTCGTTTCCAAACATTGATTCATTTACTTGCCGTTCATTAGTACCATTATAGCATCGTCGACTGATATTCCCACGAAACCATTAATGATTTTTGATATCTATAAATCCTTAAAGTCAAATATTTTTGGTTGTTCAGGAACAGAACAAACATCCACCGTATGTTTACAGCGATTAAGAAATACTCAAATATATGTCGTAAAGCTACCGGCAAACTTAAAACCAGCAAAAAAAAATAGAATTTGCAATATCTTTCTTGTTTCACTGAGTACACATTCTAGAGTATATTCAGATAAGAGATAGACCGGACATAAACAAGACCACGTGATCATCGAACGCTGTAACATTCGGCAGGGACGTATTAAGAGTCACGCAGTACATATTTTAGATAGTAGATGCTGCTTTGCGTAACTTTGTAGTAAATTAGCACAATTCGATGTGTAAACGATTGGTGATGGATATAGGATCATGTGGGGGTGGGGTAAGAAATATATAATGATGAAAATATACATAAGGGTTTCAAAATTTTCGCTTCGATTTCCAGCTTCGGATGCCGCCTGATGTTTGGTGAAATACAGTCGAATATAATCTCAAAATTAGCCTAAATTAAAAATAATCGTATATCTCTTAAAATTGCTTTTAGAATATTGATTAGTATATTTTTTGATTTCTTGATTTCTGTAACCAAATTAAAACGTTCAAAACGTAAAAAAATGTGCATGGTTGCACATTGTCAGAAAGTAGATTCTTGAATAGGTTTTGCCAAAATGGGTTCAAAAATGTCAATAATTAATTAAAAAATACAGTAGCTTTATAATTACTTATAACTTACCGAATTTGATGAACGACATCTTTTATTGGAAAGATGAGCTTGATGAGCTTTCATCATCGCTACTGCCTGAAGCACCAACGACAATAATGAATGGCTCGACTTGTTCCTCTAAAATATTGTCCAGTTCCCACATTCTCTTTTCAACTTTGTCTTTCACGTGCTTAATACAGTTTTCCCATTTTTGCGCTGTTATTAATTCTAGTGCTTCTTTGAAAAGTCCTTTGAGGTCACAAAATTTAAAAGTTGTATTGTGCTTAGCTATATAATTTTTAACCTCTGCCCATATGAGCTCAATGGGATCGATAACGATGCCTTTTGTGGATCTAAACATCCCTAAGCTCGTCATTCTTGTCAACTGGGATGCAGGGTGCGGTGTTGCCTTTACTATCTTACATTTTACTAAAATCTTAAGACAAATAAAAGCTTCCAATGAAATATTGACGAATATGAACGGACATGCACAGAATTTAGAATATAAATTTATATTGCAAATTTCATATTGTCTATGCATGGACTTGAACCGGATTTTTACAGAAAAGAAAATATTTATCGATAACATTATTGTCTACAATTTTACAAAATAATTTAAATATTTCTATACTTGCTGAAAAAGAGCTGAAACCAAAAATAAAGCAAAGCGTTAATTTATAATATATAATAGTCTTCATAGTTTTATGCCCCATATCAATTATACAAATGCATACACACTCAGCCAGTCGTGCACATGAGACTCGTAGATTTCCAGAATGGTTGCAAAGTACTTTGAAAGAGCGACCAGTATGCACATTGTAGAAGTTGCAATATAGAAGTGTACCCTCAAAAAACATGTTGTGTGCGCGCCTAATAATAATAATAATAATAATAATAATAATATTTATTTACTCAATGTACAAAGATAACAAACAATATGAGTAAATACGTAGTCGTGCCATAAGTTCTGTCCCATGATAATCTCATGATAAAAATGAAACAAGATAAGATATATTTATATGAAAGATATTATTTATTCGACAACATTTTTAGAATTCATAA